CACATTTCTCTCTCTCTCTCTCTCTCTCTCTCTCTCTATATATATATATATATATATATATATATATACTAGAAGGGTACTCGTGCAATACATCGAGACACATTTCCATTTCAATGTTTCGTTTTATTTTATCCATGTCGATATAATACAATTTTATGTGGTTTTGAGAAAACGATAATGTTTTTATTTTTGAATAAAATATAAATTTGAAAATATCATATAAAATTTGCAAAAAATATATCAATATTAGTATCAAATTATCTAATTAAAAGTTCTTATTTGTTTATTTTTTTTAATTCAAATTTTTTATATAATTTAATTTAGGTTTAGTAATATATTTTTATAAAGATAATAATTAAGTATTCTGTTAGAACTCAATAATTATCCTAATTATATTTTAGATTTTTTATATTTTAAAATGAGATGTTTATTCTCTATTTAATTATGTTTATCCGCAGTTAGTTACACGAATTCAAACATAGAGCTTTAATAAGTTATACTTATATACAATTTACTTGTAATCTTGAATTTTAAGTAATATGCATTAACAAACAGTACTTTATGCATAAAAAATGTTTTTAAGATTTTTTGTCAAATGTTTTATAATATAGTGTGTATATATATATATATATATATATATAATTTCATGTTTATATATCTGATTAGTTAAAGGTGTGGTGCAATTTTGATGGCAATATACTGGATCAAGAATATTAATTAGGTTTTTTCTCTGCACTTTGTGTTAATTTTATTTTCATATTGTCAGCGTTTTGTGTGTAATTAAACAATTGGTTCTTCCCCTCTATATTTTATTCATTTACATATGATTTTGAAAAATAAATATACCGTAAAATTTGCAATAAAATAAAATAAAATTAATGTGACAAGGAAAAAACAATTTTTTTGTTACCGGTTTTCCTGGTCGAACTCTAGAATTAGTCGAGATGTGTACAAACTGTCTCGTCACCCACTGCTAAAAAAAATTGTGTACAAAATCATTTGAATCCATACCTCAGTAATTGAGTACTATTCAAGAAAAATCTTTCATCAAATATGGTTTTCCAAGTCTTTTTTTAAAATAAAAAAGAAAATACTTATTAAAACACGTTCTATCTTCCGACCAGACTTATATCTTTTTCAAATTCAATTGACGGTAATTGTTACTCCGAAGCTAGATTGGATGCCCCAAACACTTTCGTATTTATCGGTATCATGTGATTTTTGGTCGCTAAAGTTTCAGCAATAAACATTTTGCCATTAAGGGGCCTTTATGGCATAATCAGTCTCTCCTTTTCAGTCGAGTGGCGATCTCTCCTCTATCGCCTTCTTAATAAAGGCGAGCTATTCTATTGTTTACTCATCTTGTTTAATCTTGGATCTCTTTTTATTCGACAAGAGTTATCACCTTTACTTATCTTATCAAATGGATTGTTGGTAAGGGTATTTTACACGATAAGTGCTTACTGGGTAAGAGTTTTATCTCTTATAGGGTAAGATTCTTAAACCTTGCTACGCCTCTTATTAGGTAAGATTCTCGGTCATTGCATGCTCATCTGGTAAATGCTTACCTGGTGAGCGTTTAAAGTCGCAACATTACAAACCAGTGTGATTTTTGAAGTATGTAATATTTATATACGACAAAACAAACACACTCCTCATAGTTAGTAAGGCTTGAACCTTGACCTGCAAAGAGGTTGGAATCCACCCTCAATCCGGATACTATTAGGCCACTAGCGCTTTCGTAACCAACGTGATCTTTTAGCTGCAGGAGATTCCTTCGCTAAGATCCACCAGTCACGAAGAGCAATTCTTTGGCAGTATTTATCTTTTTTTAAGTATAAAATAGTTATATACAGAAATGAACTCACGCACATTGCTCGTCTTTAGTGAGTGGTGAAGTTTGAACCCTTGACCTCCTAGAAGGCTAAGTTCTACCGGTAACCCGGATACGGATACTGATAGTCCAAAGTCCCTTTTGGTTTTGGTAGTATATCTTAGTGGATAAACATCTCTATATTCATGCCAAAGGGTGAAACTTACAGAAATAAGGTAGCAAATACAATCATATTTGCATTCCAGATATTCCTACAGTACTCAAAAATGAATCAACATATCAAGAAGAAGAAAACTAGAGGACTTGCTTGACTTTGGGAGTAAGAATTGGAGGATCGACGTCAATGCCCATATTAGCAGCCGTTCCTGCTATGATTCTCATTGCTGATTCAATGGTCGTGCAGTTCAAATCTGGCATTTTTTCTGTTGCAATTCCTCGTAACTGGTCAATCGTAACTTTTCCCACCTTTTCCCTCTGTGGATCCTTGGAACCTTTATCCACTCCTGAAAGATTTAGTAATTAATCATGAGAATATGAAATGGACACACATAAATTACCAGTCCTGAAGCAAGATGAAACAGTTGTATGGTCGAAGTGAAATAAAAATGTGATTGTGGGCTTTGTTTACATAAATTAAGGTGAAATATGAAGATGGAACCCACAAATGGGGGTGCCTTGGCTGGGTTGAGAGCATTTGAATAATCCAACCCCAACCACTTCAGCCCAGAAAATTCGAACCTGATCAAAACCTTTTTAATATATAACCCGACCCAAGCTGTTCCATTGGGTTGGGTTGGGTTGGGTTGAGTTTAGTTGGTTGAATAAACTTTTAAAAAAATGGTTGTATTAGAATTTAAAACCTAAGCAAGAAAACCAAATATTAGCGGCTAGTACTTGACCGTCCAAATTATTGCAAAAATAATCAAATATAAAGTTTAAACATTACAAACTTCTTTGAATTGCATTGGGTACATGAATCAAGAATGACGGTTTTGGACCTCTCGGGGGGAGACATGATTTGGATTTTGGACTTAGTCCGTCAGGTTAAACAGGTTGGGTTGGGTTGGGTTAATTTGGGGCGGACTGTTGGTGATTTGTATCACTAATATCATTTAAGTGTAATGGGATTAATTTGTTGACCAATGTAATCATGATAAATATCGAACAAGTAAGGAAGGTGCGGAGTGCACACTTGTTTGAGTTTATTTTGATTTAGGGGAGAAGCCCCTAAACGACGGGGGTCCGGGGGTAGCGCCCCCGGTGGCGGGGTCTAAGGGGGGCAGCCCCTGGCTGGCGTCAGCTTGGAAATTTTTTATTCGGGTAATATTGCTTTGTGGAAAATGCATCAGAAATCCGAATTTTAGATTTTAAACCCGGTTTTTAAACCCGGTTTAGGGTGCAAAAAACTGCCCTTTTTTGACAGTTTTCGCACTTTTCAATTTTCGATTTGGTCATTTTTCGTCTAGAGAGAGGTACACAGATTCATAACATTTTGGATTCGAAGTTATGTCAATCACTAAATTTTATCCGATTGAGATTTCGATTGTACCGTCGAAATACTTCAATCTGAAAGTGATAAACGACTTTCAGTGGATTCCAAGCAAAGTTTTTCCAACACGGACCCCAACCCAACCATCTTGTTTGTAGATTAGTTACCAATCAGGATCCAGGTCGAGTTGGTCGGCCAATTTCAAGGGTTGGGTGGTCGGGTTTATGTGCAGCCCTACCCACAAAATGGAACTTAAAGTGTATTAAAAGCATGCAACCTGGATTTCTGGATAGATTTGAATTTGATTTGTCTCCCAATAGTCTTTATACACTTATTCATCATCAACTAATTCAAGCAAGCATTTGATTTGCAGAGTCATAATAACCAACTTCCAAGACCCTATCACTTCATTTCTCTAGGCCCAAGCTCTTGGTTGCATGATCATGGTCTTGGTACAACTCAAATCTTTAGAACGTGGAGTAAGGCTTTTGTAACACTAAAGAGAAATCTTGGTGCATTGTTTATCTAGTCCTCGTATGTTTGCACTATAGAATCAGCCTCAATTTGGCAACCATAGGGCTAAGTGAAGCCATCTCTAGTCAATTTGGTGATTTGGGTTGCCAATAGTTGGCCATTGTTAGTCTCTAATATTCTAATCAGTATACACTAACGTTGGATAATCCCTAAACAGTTCTTAGATTTATGTGAAGTTTAACCATTCGAATTACAGAGTGAATGCATAAACAACTAATAACGATTTGATTTTGGAGATCCACAGCTACTACTAATTAGTCATAAAAACTAATAACAGCACCACAAGCTAGAGAAGATAGATGATATTTGTAGATTTATAATCAGGTACCAAATTGAACCCTAATTTGAAAACATAATACCTGCAGCTTTAAGGAGCAGAACTGAAGCAGGAGGTGTCTTCAACACGAATGTGAAACTTTTGTCCTGCAAATTCAAACAACCACACAATGCTTACAAAAACAGAAAACAAGAAATTTAGAAAACCCTAAAGGGGAAAGTGAAAGAAAGGAGATAAAAACTAACATCATAAACAGTGATTTCAACGGGGATAATATAACCGGCTTTGTCAGCAGTCCTGGCATTGTAGTCCTTACAGAAAGCCATAATGTTTACTCCCTTAGAACCCAACGCCGGACCAACAGGTGGCGCCGGTGTGGCCTTCCCTGCTTCTAACGCCAGCTTTATAATTCCAGTCACTGTACAAACACAAACACAAACACATTACATCTTAATTTGTATTTAAAACTGTGAATTAATGAAGCGACAGAGTACCTTTCTTGGCTTTGCCACCGGGTTTTGGAGGAGCCATGGCGATGACTGTAAGAGGCCTGGGGGTTGAAGAACATAGTTGCTTGTTATTGCAGCGGAATTGCAGAGATACGTTTGAATTGGATGATAGGGGGATTGAGGAAGGGGATGATAGGAAGGAAGAGGAGAGATTGGAGGTGTGATTTTGCTTGGAAAGATGAGAAGAAATTGGGTGATATGTGGATAGAGAAGACGCCATTTCTGATCTCTGAGAGTTTGGTATGAAGATTAGATAGATTGAAGGTGCGTATATTACCTTATCTCGCCAATGTTGGCATGGACTTTACCACTTTTGGCCCAACTTCTTACATCCCCACAACAAGCCCGAGATTAACGTTATTTTTCTCGTTCGATTTTTACGAGTATAACCATATATATTTATTCTTTTAGCAAAATAATAATCCAACATCATCTAAAAACAACTAGAATAATATTCGCAATGCAATGAGACATATCTTGATTTTAATGTTCTATTTTATTATTTGTCTATATCGATGTTATAATACGATTATGTGTTTTTAAGAAAACAATAATGATTTTATTTTTGAATAAAATATAAATTTGAAGATATCATAAAACTTTGGAAATAAAATATCAATGTTAATATTAAATCAATTATTTAAAAGTTCTCTCATTTTTTATGTAATTTCTTTAATTTATTTTTTTATTATAATTTAATTTAAGTTTAATAACGAAATAATTTATTTTTGGTTTAATAATATAAATTTTATAAATATAATAATTAAGTATATTGTTAGAACTCAATGATTATCCTAATTATATTTTAGATTTTTTATATTTAAAATGAGATATTTATCTTGTATTTGATTATGTTTATCTGCAGTTAGTTACACGAATTCAGACATGGAGCTTTAATAAGTTGTACTTACACACAATTTACTTGCAATCTTGAGTTTTAAATAATATGCATTAATAAACAGTATTTTACGCATAAAAAGTGGTTTTTAAGAGTTTTTGTCAAATGCTTTATAATATAGTATAAATATAGTGTATCTTGTTTTTTGGAAGGCCATTTTAGGTTTTGTACAGACTCCAGATTATATAAGCGTCAGCATCAATAAATTCAATAACCACAATTGTTTGGATGTTTGTAACCAATTTCAGGTCAGATAAGATATCTCACCACGTTTTCTTGGTGTTATCCCACTACGTCACAACCCTTATGGATTAACATATTTTTGTTTTGTTTCTGATTATTATAAAACGAAACATCTATCATTAATAAGGTTGAGTTCCGGTGAGAATGAATGATATGATGAGAAGATATTTTCACTCAATTCCAAATGAAGATAGACATTAATGAGATGCATTGAATTCTCGTATGATCTTTTGTCACCATTCTATAAATCTAATTATTTATTGGTTAACAATTATTACGTAACTATTTTTTGTATATTCATTTATTGCTTTTAGACATGTTTTTCATACCTATTTATAGGGACGCCGTCATACCTTGTATTAACTGGTATGAAGTTTTGAACTACGTTTTTTTTGGTTGAGCCTAATACTTAAATAATGTTTCATAAACGTAAGCTAGTTACGTAAATAATACATGTTTTGATTAACATAAATAAGCTAGTTCATTGAAACACTAGTTAGAATAATTTGTGAAAAGCTTGTTATCATTTTTCGGATCATAACATTTATTAATATTAATTATAAATGAACATCATTACTAATAATTAAATAAAAATTAATTGTTCCTAACATTAATTGATAGTAATTAATATTAGTTGAAAATTATTGATTAAGTTCAATTATATATTAATTTTTAATTATTTAGAATTATTATTAATTTTTTTTAGTTATTATTAAATATATTTAATTATCATAAAACAAATCCAACAATTCTAATAATATTTATGTAAGTTATATAAGGATTGAATTATACTTATTTTGTTTCATAGATAACAAAATTTTGTTAAATGATTTGAATAAAATATTTAGTTTTAATTATTTATTATTTTTGAAAATCACTAATTAATTATGATGTACGAGGTTGATTAATTTTAATTTTATTTATATTATATATAATGGTTATTCAAAACTATAAATTAATTAAAAATTTGTTTTAACAAATCCAAAACTTATAATATAAAAAAATCAATTTAACATTCTTTTACATGCTATTTTTGGCAATATTTTATAAAATATTGTAATTCATTAATTTTTCAAAATGTCATTCTTGGTAATTTTACATGTCTGTCCATTACTTTTGAACAAACATAATTTGTTGTTAGTTTATCAGTCATCAATTACATTATCAACTAAATTACCAAACATAATCTAAAATTGATACTTATATAAGATAACCTACCGTCATTGAATTTTTTACCGATTAAACTTAGAGACCGTTTACCCAAATGCTTACCCGGTAAGTACTTACCGATAGAAGTCTAACACCATAATTTATGTTGATTCATAAGATTTTAGTAAGTCAAAACATATCAAATACAACAATGTACTTGGTAAGCGTTTACTTGAGTAAGAGTCGTCATCTTTACTTACCGGGTAAAACTCTTCATCATTCTTATTGTTCTTACCCGATAAGATTATTGGTCATTTTCATGTTCATTCGATAAGAAAATTTATTTAATAAACACTTACCAAGTAAATGTTTAGTAAACGATCATTTATATGAAATATTTATGTGAGTATGAATATCATTTTAGTTTTAAACAACAAATAACATCCACGTAGGCAAAAGATTTAAAAGGGTATCCCCAATTTCTTGTTATAAGTTTTTCTATTTTCATAAACTATTCAAATTTAATTTTTTCTATTTGAGGGTAGTTCACATATTTTAGGTGAACACGATGAGAATTCAGCAGTGGGTGTATAAGGGGTTTGTTATTTAGTATAATAAGTACCGTAAATTTTACTCGATTGAGGTATAGTAAGGACTGAAAATATTATCTAGTAATTGGGAAAAAATCACTCCTTTATGGTAAGTGTTTATCGGGTAAAAGATTTTTACTGGTAATCCATTTTAATGTTCGAAAATGTTACATGATAAGATAAGTAGAGAAACATAACTCTGCTTGTAAGCGCTTACTTGTTAAGCGTTTGGTAAATGACCCCTCTAAGAAGACTCTTGTCCGATTAACATTTACCAACACCCAATTTTAATGGTTGAAATATTATCCGATAAGATAAATAAAATATAGTAACTTTTATCGATAAATATTTACCAAATCAAATAAGTCACAATATTAAAATCATATAATAATTACTACAACGTGCTATCACGGAAACCATAACTCGTTTATCACAAAGTTTCTAGAAGTCAACCTGATTTTTTAGTAGTTGGACGAAATTATAGCAATAAATAAATAAAGACAAATATTTATATTACTTTATAAATCAGATTTATTAAAAGTCTTAAAAACAATTTTTAATGCATAAGCTACTATACATTTATGTACAAAGTCATAAAATATCTTAATCTACAATTAAAATAACACATAGTACAAGATACTAATGCACATTATTACATTTTCTTTTCATGCTTCCAAGATACCTTTGACACATTTCACTCATGCCTTAACCCTCTTATACCTCTATGACTTCTCCTCATTCTCAAGTTGAGATTCAAACTGATATTCATCACGAGTGATTAAAAGTTATCTCATTCATCTTAAATTCAACTGCTCTAGAACTCTCGTTCCCTATCTCTTGATTATTTGCTTTTGATGTAAATCAAATACATTTGTGAAGTCGTTTAAATATGTTGAATTTTAAATATATTGGATTTTAAACTGTCATACAATTTTTTTATCGATAGACTGTAATTGGAACCATAACTCTTATTTATTCAAATTGTATTAATATGTAAAGACCAAGTGCAACTTATATCATCGTTAAATCTTATCTAATAAGACCAATGAAACTTTAAAACCATTAAAATTCATGACTCCCACCGTATTGCACGGATACACAACTAGTTAAATTATATAAAAAAATTAATTCCTTTTATAAAAAAATAGAGACGTTAGATGAAAAGATTTGGTTTTAAAATATCGGATTCTGGTGATAGAGTTTGTTAGGCGGTGTGCAAATAGAAATCTCCGCAAACAAACACTTCCCGGTTCCCACCCTTGTTTTGTCTTTGCCACTCTCATTGGTATATGCTCCCAGAATCTCCTCTTATCCCACCCAACTCCCATCTGTCTGTAACAAACCCCCCCTTCTGAAACTCACGCACAAAATCCATGGCGCCACCAACAACTTCCTTACTCCACCACAGCGGCATCTACTTCACATTCTCGGCGCGTGAATCACACTCTCTCTTCTTCAACTCTCACAAGTCCCTCCGCCCTTCCTCTAACAAACTTCCTCTCACTTCTCTCTCTTCACAACCGTCGTTGCCGTCGGGACGCCGGAGAACACTCGTCTCCACCGTACCGGTTGAGTATGTGCCTCCAGTGCCGGATTTTGATTTTGGCAATGAACTCGCGCGCCTCCGTATTCTACGTTCCAGGCTATCCACTTCCAAAAGTTTGCGAGATAAAATCCACGTGGTTGATTCTGATGCGAAAGTGAAGCGATTTTTTAGGAGAGGTCATCATAAAAACGGATTTGCTAGGGTTTTGGAGAAACTAAAGTTGGATGACTACGAGTTGTTTTTGCTTAAATGCACTGTCGCCGCGGGTCAAGAGCATGTTTTAGGGCCGGGTTATGATACGGATTCGGATTTTAATGGTGATTTCGAGTCCGCTAGAGGTTCGTTAAAGACCGCGTTGTATACTTTGGTGGAAATTATTGAAAAATGGGAGGGGAATGATGATCGAGAGATTCATGAGGAGGTTGACGGTGTAGCGTTGAGATCGTTATTAAAAACTCTTCGAGACGTTGAAGAGTTCTATGATTGTATTGGAGGGATTATTGGGTTAGTTCTGTTCTTTTTCCACATATTTTCGTAGCAATTATTGTATTTTAATTTAGGTTGATATTAACTCACACTTATCACCTGATTTCAGGGGTCGATTATTGTTATGTTTTTCTCATTCGATTTTGAGAAAATTTATCTGATCATAGTATGACTTGTAAGATAGGCTGGTGGTGATAACAAAGTTGTAGGTAGTTCAAGATGAGAACACTGACTTCTATACAAAAACTGAAGTTAACTTGGTATCACCTCATGGATCATTATTGTATTTAACTCGATTCAGTAAAAGTTTGGAAGATAATTATGAATTTGGAAGTCCGATTCTTGGAAAATCAACTTCTTTTTATAGGCATCCTCAAGTTCTGTTAATATTATTCACACATAGAGTGCTGTTCCATAATTCTTGTAGCATATGATGCTTATTTTAAATGCTCTCTTTGTAAACAGAACTTCGGTTAATTCTTTGGACCATATACTCATCATTGCATTTCTTGCAGATACCAGCTAACGATTTTAGAGATTCTTTCTCAGTCTGTACATGGAGAGAAGAATATTAATTTTCAGCACATAAATAACTCTAACTCAATGGGATGCCAGCTTTTAGAAATACATCCTCCTAGTGTACTTGATCTTTCTCAAGACACTGAATATGCGGCTCAGGCCGCTTTATGGGGAATTGAGGTAAGATGAGATTTTGTGTTGTTTGTTATTTCATAAGATACCAGGAGACAGTATCACGAGATTTAGGTATTTTAATTTGAATTTAGGGTTTACCGCACCTTGGAGAGATTTATCCTCTTGGAGGCTCTGCTGACAGGCTTGGATTAGTGGACACAGTCACAGGTGAATGTCTACCTGCAGCCATGCTTCCTTATTGTGGCAGAACCTTGTTGGAAGGTCTTATAAGAGATCTTCAGGTAGAATCTCTTTCTATATTTGTCTTCTTTTAATCGTGGTTAAGATTGTGCCATCTATTATTGGGCAGAAATTTGACCACTTTAATTTGATTTACACACTATCAATGACACTTATTTTATCACAACTTTCCAAACTTCAAGGCTAGGGAGTTCTTATATTTCAAATTATATGGAGAGCAATGCATAACTCCCATTGCAATTATGACAAGTTCGGCCAAGAACAACCATGAACATATCACGTTGCTGTGTGAAAGATCCAAATGGTTTGGAAGAGATCGATCAAGTTTCCAACTCTTTGAACAGGTCTTATAAGTAGAATGTTGATTTTCTACATGGCTTTTAGGCCATATATAGACAGTACTTAGTTTGTTATTCATCGTGTTTGCCAGCCACTCGTCCCAGCTATTAGCGCTGAAGATGGCCAGTGGTTAGTGAAGGGACAGTTCGTGCCTGTCTGCAAACCTGGTGGTCATGGTGTGATATGGAAACTTGCTTATGACAAAGGCATTTTTCAATGGTTTCATGACCATAGAAGAAAAGGTGCAACTGTTCGACAAGTCAGGTTTGTCCAAGTTAGTTATCCAAATATGTGCTTGTTTCATATGGCTGGATATGACAAGGTTGTGGATCTAGATTTTGTATCTTATGTAATGTTAACAGATTTACTTTTGCAGTAATGTTGTAGCTGCTACAGACATGACTCTCTTGGCCTTGGCAGGGATTGGTCTGCATGAAGGGAAGGTAACATTTCCATCTGGGCCTCACATAATTGGTTACTTAAAAAGCCTGCTCAAATTGCCACAGAAAGAGAACGGAGCAGAATTGCATGCATGATGGTGGATGTTTCCTACTATAACGGCACTTGAATTAGTCTCCATGTTTGTTTTAATTCATATGTTGATAGAAAGTTGTTTTTTGTGATCTTCATAAATATATGCTAAAGACATAATATTCTCTCTCTCTGCCTACCTAGGAATATGATAATTGAAAACCTCACTTTTCAGCATCCTCCAAATTTTTTCACCTTGATTACTAGATCTTTTCTTGCTACTTATACATATGGTGCAAGTTAGTCAACATTTATCATGTTCACATCTATGTAACAAATATTTGTACCACATCTACAATTTTCCCACATAATGTTATTCTAGATTGATCATGTGACCAACCTACTTGCATATCTGAGCTTGTGGTCAATATGTAACGAATGGGATGCTATTATAAAGATCGACTTAGCATGTATTTATACAATGCTATGTTTTCAATCTTGATTAAAGAAAGTGCTATTTTCATGCTTAGAACAAATATAAAAGATAGTTTATCTAGATATAATGCAGTCAACTGGCTTTTTTAATTAGGTGACACCTTTTTTAGATATAAAACTGGATGGCACTGTCATAGTGGACAGTATTCAGGAATGGAGGAAATACATGCATCTATTTGGGGTTGCTTTCTAGGGAATGGTAGATATAGTTCAAAGTTTAAACTAAACATAGGAGAAACAAATATTATTCAAATGCATCTGATGGGGAATTTGTGTGGAAATCAACTGCTAGCTCAACATGTTCAATACATTTGCCAATGGGGGGACACAAGTTCTTGTTTTGTGTGTGGTTAAATGCATATGGCTTATTGCACATCAACAATAATTTCAATGTGACTATCACACCTATCTGAAGTTGTACCCACCACCCATGGCAGAACTGTTGGTACTTCCAATCGTGATTTACAAGGGGGATAGGTTGGCCAGTTAAACTTTCCAGGAGGCAATATAATCTTCTCAAAAATTTGACAAGTGGGTCTGTGGGTAAAAAATATGGTAAAATAAACTGAGAAAAGGAAGACTTCTACAAACATAATCAGCCATAAGGAAAATATTATCTTGTAATCATGCTCTGTGAAATCTAACATTTCAGCTCTAGAAAGCAGCTCCATGTTTTGCCCTTCACATGGATTGACATTGTTAGGAGAGACTGCTAATCATTGTTATGTAAGTTACATAAATAATTTTTATTACTAACTAATAATTTTTCAGAAGCTTGGTTTCGCATCATGCAAACGAAACTCTGGTGCTACAGAAGGCATAAATGTGTTGATTGAGAAAGGCAAGCCTGATGGGACATGGACATATGGCGTGTCATGCATTGAGTATACCGAGTTTGACAAATTCGGAATTGCTGATGGATCTCCTTCTCCTAATAGGTACTATTTGAAACCTTCTATGGAACTTTAGGGAAGCCAAGAAAGATTATTGATAAGCTAACCATCTTAAACTTAGGTAGATACATTGTATATTTGTACCTTGTACCAAACTGAAATTGAACGAGTCTTTCAACAACTAGAGGGTTATCATTGAGATACTCGGTTGAAACACTAACAGAATGCTTATTGGCATCTTTTTCCGATTTGATGTGCATATAATCCTTTATACCTTGTCTAGGATCTAAACTACGTTGGGCATCTGGCTTGAAATCAGAGTGTACATGACTGCAAGATACTATGGCTATTCATCACTATAAGAATTTGATCTTTATTATAAGTAGAAGCTTTTGTAGAGTCTTAAATGGATTTTTAATACAGTAATAGTAGCAATGTGCTATAAAGTGCAATGTGAATATATATCCTCTCTGGGATAGGCAATAAGGCAAAGGTATGGGTCTTAGGGAAATGTACAATGAAGGAACTAGATAATAAATGATCAAACTAAAAAATTCATCTATGGACTAACACTGAAATTGCATGGATTGCTCCTTAAAAATAAGTTACAAGGTCAATCACCAATTAGTCAAAAAGCGCTAGTTTTTAGTCCCTAACTTCCACAACTTCAGACCAATCTTGTATTAAATTATTTATTAATGTTATGTATATATAAAGCTTCAAAAGGATACAGACGCTGTCATAGCTCACCTTTATTGCTGATGCTGCCTCAACCAACACTGGGGAGCCAACGTCCCACCATTCTGACCTGCCATATTTTAAAATCCGTTATTGCATGTTACCTAATCCCCTTTTTACCACCTATAGTGGTGATGGTTTGTTGGTGATGTTGGTGTTGGGTAGAGGTATGGGAGGGGTGATGATGTTGGTATTACGTGGAAGGTGGTGGTGTTTAGAGGTGGGTGGGTCATGGTGGTGTTGGAAGATGAGGATGATTCTTGAATTTAGAAGAAAATATAAGAATAGGAGGAAATTACAATATCCCATCCCTTAATTTATTGAAATCATCATCAATTAATCCTTTAGTTAATGGAGACATTCCAATAGCATTGGAGTGAGGGATGGAAATTTAAATAATAGTAGAAAGAGGAAATTACAAAATCCGTCTCTTAAGTATTGAAATTATCAATTTGCCTTTCACTTGATGAAAATGGCCAATGGCATTAGAGCAAGGGATAGAAATTGTGCATTTTTTTGACATTATCTCGTATTTTAATGCTAAAGGACCCATGCAGTTTCAGTGTTGGCCCAGGGATACTTTATTTGATTTGTTCGGAAATTCTGGTCTTGCACAGTCATATATGCCTATTAGTAAGGCCCTACATTATGGAACTTGAGAAAAAGTAAATAGGTCTTTTACTTCTGCCCTAGACCTTACTGCTACAACTTTCCACTGATCAAGCATTCCTGTTGCTTAACAAACATGGTTTCTATTATATCAAATTTGCAATATCTACGTGCTAGCTAATGTTTTCTTTGCAATTTGATGTTGTTTTATTCATTCTGGATAAAATGTGCTTTTTGCACTCCCCCCAGAGCATTTCCATGATACATACCAGATCTTTACTGCTTGAATATTTTTTGATTTTGTGGTACGTCAACCTTTTTCTAAATTATTTTCTTTTTATTATCGTTGCTATTTGCAGTCTAAGATATGACCACTTTTGGATTTATCATGATATCCCTCTGAAATATGAAATGAGTGTTCTGCCCATCTGTAAAGATTACGATCTTATGTTTAGCATGTGAAATTCTGTATGGTTTGTCCATTAAAGGTTCACCATTATTTTCTTAAATTATTGTCTAGAAGTTTTGTAGGCAGAAGATTTTTGTCATATACTCCAATTAACCATGGTCATTTGTTAAGTTTGCAGACAGAGTTCCCAGCAAATACAAATATTCTTTATGTGGACTTGTCTGCTGCAGAGCTTATTGGATCAAGCAAGGATGAGACGAGTTTACCAGGCTTGGTGCTGAATGTGAAAAAATCGATCAACTATGTAGACCACTTCGGGGTCCAACATGGGTACATTTCCTACTCTAGGGACCGTTCAGTTTTACAGCATGTTTAGTTAGCAGTTATATGCTGTTCCAACTCTTATATTTAATTTATCAAGAAAATTGTGGGGCTCTAAGATGCCAAACATTCTAGTCAAAGGGTGCTACATACTTTTAGCGTTAATATATACCAAGAATGTACAAGAAGATGTGTATGCAAATCTAATATCTATGATTGCTATGCTAGACTGATGATCTTCCCTTAACATGTGACGAAGCATCTGATAATGTTTACAATTTGAGAGGCAAAACTAAAATCATTTTCCAGAAGTAGTCGGTGTTACCCTGTACTTTTTAAAAATTTGACAGCACTAGAAAAATCAAGTCAAAGTTGATAACTGTATTTAACTAAGCTTTCACGTGTGTTTGTGCTTTCATTGTTTTAGAATTTTTTTAGAATGGTGGAAATCTTGAAAACCAATGATTTCTTATTTTATTTCAGTTCATTGTTGCTTACAAAAGGTTAAATTTTGGCATTTGATGTATTTTATTTCCTAGTAACTATTAAACTTGTTAGTTGTTAGGCATGTTCGTGCTTCCAATTTTGGATGCGCTTATTGATGTTCATATTTGATGCATAATGCTGTAAAGTTCAAACGTGCAGCATAGCATGAGCTTATACATCTTATCTGTATCTATCATCTATGTTTGTGAACACAAAAAATCCAGATTTTGGCAATTTCGGCTTCTGAGTAACGGGGATAAGATTGCATATTGATGTTCTGTATGCACTTGGTTACGCAAGAATCCTCTTTTTCTATAACATAACTTAATTGAGGTTTCTTCAGAACATTCATTCAGCCACTAGATCCTACTTGTATAACTAAAAGCTGATGCTTTGGTTCTGATGAAATGAGAGCAAGAAAATTTCATGGAAACAGTACATAATGATGGCATCACCAAATAATAAGTTGGAAGTGCTAAAAAATCCTTCTCAGTTAAGAACCTATAGAAGAACGATATAGCTACATCTTTGTAAAGTTAACATACTATTTCTTTCTGTAAAGTCAAGAAAGCCAAGTGAATCATTCGAGAATTAGCGTTTGATAAAACATTGGCACAATTCTAGGCTCTTACCTGCATTTGAAGAAGTTAATTCACTATACATATAAACATAATGACCATTTCTGTAAATCAATAAATTTCCTTAACATAGTAGGATATGAATCTAACTTTGTTTGTACCAATACCGTGGCCTTTTAAGCAATGTATCTTTGTACTATTAGTAGCATTGATATGATATTGATTCTTCTCTTCTTATTGCTCTCTACACTGTCTGCTGGAGAAAAGGTGCATGTTGTGTTGAAGTGTTGTTCTCTTGACAATCCCTGGAGACAGATGTCATTATCATACAGTCATCCAACTCATACCGACTGTTGACGTATGGGGAGGCATGTTTATTTATCCCTTCATCTACACTCTCTTTTGAGTCTGCCTATTGGTCAAGGTGTCTTATTTGATTCATTTCACGGGCAATCATACTTTTTATAGTACCTATATGTGGAAAGGACCATTCGTACATCATAGGATGTCAGCACTCATAAAAATACATGGACTAGTTTCATAGATACTTCTTTTGGTTGGAAACTTGGAATTAAACTGCGGAGTCCAAATCTGAATGAGAATACTTGCCAAATAGATTTTGTTATTTGTGATTGCCCAGTCCAAAACTGACTGGGAAAAGACTTGCCAAGTAGAATTCGTACGTGGAACTGCATAATTGTGATTTTCTGTTTTAATGTCGCAATTAGTAAAACATCATGACAAATTCTAATTTTTTTTCTGGGCAGTGTTCCAGGTGGGCGCTTGGAATGCACAATGCAAAATATTGCTGATAATTTTGTAAATAGTTTTTCCTCTCAATGTTTTGAAGGTGTAGAAGGTAGTATGCAATTTTTCTTCTATCACTCATCATGAATTTTATCCCTTTTTTGCAAGTCTCTTGTATTAAAGAAGTCTATCCGATAAACATAATTGCAGAAATGCTAGATACCTTCATCGTCTATAATCACCGAAGGAAGGTCACATCGTCTGCCAAGAAGAAAAGAAAGCCTGATGATATGTCCTTGCATCAGGTCAATTTCTCTATTTTCATTTACGAGGAATTTAAATGAGAATTCTGTTGTGATGTAACATTGGATTTCTTACGTAATTTTTTTTTTGTGGCTGTGACAACCGCATGTGTGCTCTACTGATGTGCTATAGCTTATTCGCTTTTATTTTTGCTCTGAGGTTTAATGTGTTTGCTTCTATTTCTTAATTTTCATCTTGAAAGTTGAAAATCTCTGATCATGTTTACAAGCTGGTAAACTATCAATGGATGGCCTAAAGATAAAGCAAAAGAAAATGGGAAGGATAGAGAAAAGGAAGGGAGAAACTGGAAAACTTATATTATTAAGTGGAAATAGCACTCCAGCATTCATTGGAGAAAAGTTTAACAGGACATATTTGACGTGGCAGATGAGATATTTCAATTACTTTGATAGAGTAATTTTACCTATTGGATCTTAAAGCTAAGTGTTGATAATCAGGGAGTTGATCTTTTGAATTCCGGAATTGTAATTGATCTCTTGATCCTTAAGGCCAATAACTTGGATTGTTAGATTCCTTGTGAATTGTGCATGTGCAGACATTATGGGGTTTACTTTCTATCTTGTAGACCTGCTAATCAGGTACTTTAAACTATGTGTTTGCAGACTCCAGATGGTGCGCTACTTGACATAATACGAAATGCTTATGATCTTCTTTCATATTGTGACATCACACTCCCCAAGGTACTGTATCCTCACTTTATCCTGGTAGCATTATTGTTTAACATCAAAATTTCATATACGAGAAGCTGTGTTGTGCAGATTGAAAGTAATGATAAATATGCTGAATCTGGACCACCATATCTCATCCTTCTTCATCCTGCTCTAGGCCCTCTCTGGGAAGTCACTAGACAAAAGGTAAGCTTATATTTTACCTACGATATTGAAACTGTGTAACATAGTTCCGTTTGATTATCCTAGGAGCATCCTTAACAAATTTGAAGATGAACAAGTCATCAAAAATGTTAGATAGAAACATCAGAGAACTGAAATCTGGATGCGTCCTTTACAACTGTAAATCAATACTTTTATTATTTTATCCCTGAATCATAAAGTTGATGAATAACCGAAGCCTCCCCTCTCAACCCTCGCTGAACTGAGGATCTTTGGTTCACCGAGGGCAACACCTCTACTATTACTCACTTTTTTCTTGTCTTGTGTACTTTTCAAGTTTCATGGAGGTTCAATATCTGAAGGTTCTGAATTACAGATTGAGGTTTCTGAATTCTTATGGAGAAATGTTCAGGTCAAACCCGTTCACCCAATACACTCGGGCGACAGACGTTCAGAATATTTTTCTCAATACTGAACTTGTTCTTTTTATCTCAGCTTGATGGGAGTTTGATGATTGTTGCTGAAAATGTCATGGGGTCTCAGATTGACAAAAACCATGAGTCCATACTACAATATGGTTACAGGTAGTGTACGGTAATAGCACTTCACTAATAAGTAAAAGAAAGTTGAGTGTTGTTAGGAGACGTTGTGCTGAAATATGACGTCTACTCATGTAGGTGTGCACGGTGCAAGTTGGAGAATGTAAAAATACGAAATAAAGGAATAGACTGGAATTCGGATAAAAATTTATATTGGAAGCATGATGTTCAGCGGCTTGAGGCACTAAAAGTCGTGCTGCATGGAAATGCTGAATTTGAAGCTGTTGATGTTAACCTTGAGGTTAGATTTGCAGGAAACTGACTTGTGATGTAAGAGTAGGTTACCATTTGAATGGATCTCTAGCTTATGGAAAGCTAGACTAAGCAATAAAGTACCTCGTATTTTTCCCTCCGCCTCGATCCTCCAGCAGATTTTGCTAGCCAACAATTGTTCGCTGTATTTGATCCAAAGAGCATATCTGTTGGCCAAAGGATGATGCTTACCTGAAGGCGTCTTAAGCCAAACTTGCATCAAGTGATTGGAAGAGGGTTGACAATGATTAGACAGTTGCTTTTTTCTTCTCATTTAGTTAATATCTCGATTTGCTTTAAGAGTCCGATTCATATCCTCATGATCAAATACTTGCTCTTTTTCTGTCCTTGATGCAGGGAAATCATGTGTTTGAAGTCCCAGATGGTTACAAGATGATGGTCACATCTGGAAATTCAGGTTTTCTAGAAAAGTTAATTTAAGTTTTGTGGCATCAATATCTTAATCTGTATAGTATTCAAACAGCATATGCCTTTTTACTGCTTCCCATGGGGCATCCATTTATCTATAAGATACACTTCATTCATATGCATTATTCTCTTCCATCCCTATGGTGTCTCATTAGAATGCGGTTGTTTAACAACCATGAAAATTTACTATGACATATATGCTTCCTATTCTCAGAAAAATGGGCATTTACTTATGTCACACTTAATCTTGAACACAAAATCACTTTTTTTTTTTTGGTATTTTCATGTTGAGATGCCAAAAAGCTTTCCTGAATCTTACTTTCTATTATCTAAATATGTTGTAGTATTGGAACTTCATTCTGGTTATGTGAAAGAAAATATAGCTTTCATTGTCTTCTTAATTTGAATTGGAGAAAACTTATTTGTTTGTCACTTGACTGAAGAGACTATGGATTCATTATTATTTCTGATATAAGAAATCTCTGCTTATCTATGGTGTGCGTTTGTTCATAGAATAGTTTTGTGGAATAAATTTTTCAGCCGTTTGTACAAGAAGCATCTATATATCCTACTTACTCCATTCAAACTTTTGGTTCAGGTTTATCTGTACATTTAAATCCTATTAGAAAGGAATTTATGGATAGTGGGAGCTGGGTCTGGAAGTACATCTTAAAGGGCAAACATATTCAATTGGAATTGGTGGAGTTCTAGAGGACTCATGAGATTGTTTACCTTTTGAGAATCATCGTTCACAGAAGAACCTAATCCTTGTACCTGCATGGTTGAACAGAAGTTAAACCCCCCTTCACCCAATTATCCTTGTAATAGTATATGCACTATGAATCTAGTATGACCAGTAGGGTCTCCTGTTCTTTTCTTGTAAGTTATTGTAAATTAAATGTAAAAGCTGTTACGGGTATTTCAAAGTCAAGTTATTGGTTGGCAATTCTTGATTGTCACATTAGTCTCTGTGAAATACAGTTATTTGAAGGTCTGGGGTTTTGTGCCCATTGATTGTAACCTGTTAGTTCTACCATAGTCTAATACATGTTCTGTTATATATCTGATACTTCTTTGCTCGTTTCTGATTATTATCATCTAGATTATTAGTTGTCATTTATAATCTAGGGTACTTGTATTTTTGAATTTCCACTGGTATCATGGATCAGAAGAAAGACTTGCACACATAAATATGTGGTATGAACAAGACCTGGGCTTACTACCTCGAACTAAGAGGCATTCTAGATACTCAGAACAGCTTGAAGGATAACATGCAACAGCACAGCGAGTATGGACCTGGTACAAATCATGGGGGTTCTTGGATGCTATCTATCAACTTATGTGTAAAGGTTGTCATATTATTATCATATAAAATCAACGTTTGAGTAATCCTCTTGCTCCAACTTGTGAATATTTGGACCTCATTTCACATTTGTGCTTGTAAATTCTGTATAGTATATGACAATTCAGGGTTTGCACCTCTGATTGAAACCTGTTATTGCTGTCTGTCTTTTACAGGTTTCTGCACTATCATGTTGGATACTTTGTATGTTAGGTAATTCTTCTCATTGTTCGCTTATTGAGTAAGTTGTGTATTTATAGTTTTCATTTTTTGCCAATATCATGCATCATGTAAGATTGTGGTGCGGACAAAATATTATAAGCTAACGACCTCTCATGAAGAGGCTTCATGTGACAACAGTTTGCAGTGTATCATTGGGTTACATTGTGCTGTTTATCATAACTTTCTATATGTGTACGGATTTGGCTACCCCTAATTCTTGTTATTTGTATATGACTTGCTTTTCATTTTTATGATCTTGGTCTGCTTTTTAGTTCCAGCTCTTGTTTACCTTATTGGTTCACGGTGGACACTATTCCAGCAAACATCAATGTGGAGGTTTTTTCTTAGCAAACAACGGTGTGTTACATAGTTATTCCTATTGCTGGATAATCTTTGATTTGCATTCCTCCATGAAGTACATGCATAAGAATATCTAAAGACTGAAGGGATCTATGTGTAAATAGGAGTTGTTTTTGTTTACCTAATGCAGCTTGGGTTATGAAGGGTAAAACAACTTATGCATTGAAAGAGGGTTGAATTACATGAACAGATAAAACAACATTTTCATTTATGTCATCTCCATGAATTTACATTTTTAATTTGCAATCAATCAATCTCTGTGTGTGTTTTTATTCGACAGGATTCCGAGAATGTGAGCAGCATCTGTTGAGCAATCTAAGCAGAGCATCAGCCTTTCTTTGAGCTTTCATAGATCCATCAGCAGCCAAGCTTTGAAGAGATGGTATGCTCCTTGGATTCATCAATAGTCTTCTAGCAACTTCATCACCACCATCTTTACAGAGCCCCAATAGGAGGGTTATTGAATTCTCCTTTCCCTTTGGCGATCCAAACCTTAAAAGATCAATGAGAATTGGAACCAAAACTTTACACTTCCTTATTTCTTCAAGTCCTTCAGAACACCCCAATAGCAGAGCAAGCACTGCCAATGCGTCATCAGTGATTCCAGCCTTATCATCCATCAACAAATCAATTAGAAGAGGTACTGCCCCTGAAAGGACAACATTGATTTTATTTACACTATAAAGTGCAAGATTAAACAATGCTGTTGCAGCATCTCTTTTTCCCGCCGTAGTTCCATCTTTTAATAGCCCAACCAAAGATGGAATAGCTTTTGGACGACTACCAATAATCACTTTATAATCATGAATTATCGATAAGCTGAATATTGTTGCTGCTGCATTTTCTCTGGCCTCCATTGTTTTACCTGAACCCAGTACATCTACTATGCTGTCTATTGCTCCTGCAGCCACTATTAACACCTTGTTGTTTTCAAATATGGAAAGGTTTAGAAGTGTTGTGACTGCATTCTCCTGTATTCTTGGATCATGTGATGAAAGTAAGGTTACCAAAAATGGAATTGCTCCCGCCTCTGAAATTATCCTCCGGTTGTCCATCCCAGTTTTGGCTAGTAGTCTCAACTCATATGCTGCTTGCCTCTGGATATCAAGTGATCCCATTGCTAACTTTCCCACCAAGAATTCTGCTGTCATTTTCACAGCATCCATGGCAGCTTTTGTGGCGGAAATGTAATCAAGCGCCTTTTCAGGTAGCTTCCTCTTGATACTAGGGCTTCTTTCAAGATGAGATGATGAAGAACTTGATGTTGCAGGATCAGTTATGGGTATGTTGTTTTCTTGGCAAAATTGGTGGATCAAGCTTTTCAGTGCATAGTTTGGAATGAGGGCCATGTGAATTAGCCTCTGTCCACTTTTCGGACATGTATGGTGCCCGGAGTTAATCCACTGTGCAATTGAGACCCGATCATATGTGTGCCCGGATGCTACTATCACTGGATCCCGCATTAAGTCAAGCGAAATTGGGCAACGATATTCATCTGGAATGTTGATGACCATTGATCGAGTAGATGAATAATGATGCTGTTGGGAATTTTGACCCATACACTGCCTTGTGTCATCCTCTTGGGCTGTTTTATGATCTTCTTTGCTGAAAACCATGGATTTCGACAAAGAAACAAGTGAAATAAGATTGTTGATATTGGAAACAACGATGAGCCCCCCTGTTCCTGCTTGCTTCTCTGCTTCAGCCTCGAGCTTTGAAATCTCTTCTTCATAATCAAGAGGGGTTCTCAATCCAATTTGAGTCATAATCACCTTGAGTTTCTCAAAGTCAATGATGCCTTTACTCTTGCTGCCTTTACCGGCACAGCTACTAGCCATCATCACTTGAAGAAGTTCCTCACTTCTCTGAATCTCTCGAGAATCAACCAACAAATCAACTCGTTTGACTTGCTTGTGAAGAAGCTCCACTTGCTCTCTGGTGTCTGCGGCTATCTTCAACAAGCTGAGAGGTAAGATATCTAATGCTCTACTCATTTCTTTCACAATCACATAAAACTGATTTGAAATGCTCTCTGCTCGAACAAGGTTCCATAGACAGCTACCTTCTTTACATGCTTGTATCAATGATTTCACCCTCCGAATCACCGAATAAAGTTCAGTGAGACACAAGATGGAAGAAGGTGGAAGTTGACTGTTTGTTTCTTGAATCTCTTCAAACAGCGATGAAAGAAGTTTGATCCTTCTTATCATTGTTGAAACATTCTTGGTTTGTGTACTAGGAATCTTTTCCATGGTTGTCACTTCATTAGAGATTTGGATCAGTGATTCTAACAAGGAACCAGTTGGAAGAAAGCCTGAAGAAACCATCAGAGGAGGAGGCAGAGTTACATCCATGGTGTTTTTCTCTTCTTTTCATGATCAATGGTTTCAGAGGGTTTTAGATTGCATGAATACATAAATCTAAAAATAAATGAATTTTTTAATATAATTTGTCTGCTTCTATTTGTACTATTAATATAGATGACAAGAAGATTGAAGGCAGGAGAAGAAAACAGGAGTCTAGGCTGCTGCCACTTGGAGAATTTGCAGGCCTTTCTGGTTAGTCCTACAATAACCTTATTCCTTCCCAAATTTTATATTAAATTTTTAATTCATAAGAGCGATGTCAAAGCTTGATTAGCTGGTTTCATATCCTTGTGCTTTCTTTCAAGTATCTTTCAACCCTCTTATTACTAGTTAAATATCTTATTCTACCATGTTCAATGCGTTAGTATTTGTACCTTGTCCATAAACTGTAGTACAAGCATATACTGCAGAGAGATCTAGGAACTTGATTTTAACTTGAGCCCCGTAATCGTCTTATGTTAGGAGGAGCACTGCATTAACATGAGTTTAGATTGGATGATTATGTCCTTAGCATTTAGGATTAGTACAAGACTCGGTAATCCAAATCTATCACACACCAATTGCAAGTATAGGAACCAGTCCAAGGGATTCTACTTGATAATCTTCAACTTAAGTTGAAGGATTCAGCATCACCTAATTATTAAGTTTCTATTTTTAGTAAGTGAAAGGAAATATAGTTCTTTAGTTTTGTATAAATAACTAATTAGGTGCGTTGACTTGGGGTACCACTTGGGGAGATTGGCAGTTTCTTTTTGGGCTATTAGCTGTTGAAATCAACATCAACAAATCTTTTCTCTATATTCTTGAGATCTATTTCTATTGTTATCTAATAACCTAACTTGGCTTTATAAAAATGGCAAGATTAACGCTTGTATGTGATTGGCAGTTTCTATTGGTTAAATGTTCAGAAAGTACTCTTTAATGACCGAGGAAAAAAATTATAGAAATCGTGTACACCAAAACTAGAAGCAGCAATAATTTATATAAAAAATGATGAGAATAGGGTAAGTAGGTTGAAATTTTGGCAAACGACTTGGTTTACATAAACAGAGGAAACGACAATGAAGCCTGATATTGGGCTTGGTAAGACAATGGTTTAAAAACAAATAAGATGCACCATTTTTATTTAGTTAGACTAGGATGGGAGGTCCTTCTCATGCATGTATATTATAGACTTGTGTATTTGGTGGTAAGGAAAAAGTCTTGTTGAATGATGTTTTGGAAGCTCCGACTGACAAAAAGGATGATAAACCTTGACCTTGTCGTTGGTCTACTTGTCCATCAACTTCAGAGACACGGAATCAAAGCCGTGTTTTTGTATTTGGTGGTTCATGCAGTTTATATGTACTTTCATGTGAAACAAGTATTAAAAAATAAATCTACTTGTAAATTTCTTGGACATGGCGGCTTTAGGTATTTCCGAGAACCTGACTTCTAATAGGAACTATTGGAGACGGAAGACTTAGGTAGCAGGGTCATGGCGGGTCCGTAGCTAGCGTTTTGGCAGGAGGAAGGTATTGGTGAGGTACTGGGTGGATTGGACTAGGATGTGTTATTCTGTACCCTTAACTAGTTCGTCAGTTCTTTTTTTTAGTTTTTTCCTCTTCTTTTCCTTCGGCTTTTGTCTCTCTCTCTCTTCATAAGCCTGGGGTTTTCAATCTTCACAAAAAGAGCCGCTTAACTTTTTTAGGGTAGAGGTCATGCTTGCGTACATCTTACCTAGGGGTGTAAATGAGTCGAGCTTTTAACGAGCTACTCGAGCTCGAAATTAATAATTATCGAGCTCAAGTCGATCTTGAACACAAGTAATTTAACGAGTCAAGCTCCATAACACCAATGTTCAACTCGACTCCTTCGAAACCTGATTGAACTTTACGAGTGAGCTGAGCCATTTGAGCATACACTTTTTTTATTCAAACATATTTATATGTTCACAAATTATATAATCAAAATATAAAAATCATCGAACTTGAGTAAATAAACGAGCTAATTGAGAATTCGAGCTCGAGCTCAAACTTTGAAAAAATATTCGAGTTCGAGCCCAATTTGAAAAAGTTAATCGAGCTCGAGTCGAGCTCTAGCAGACAAGCCTAATATTATTTTTTCGAGCAAAGCTCGAATAACTTGCGGCTCAACTCGACACGGCTTGTTTACACCCCTTTATTCTTACCTTCCCTAGACCTCATTGAAAGTGGGACATAACTAGCATACAAATGGTGGGGGATGGGCCCCCATTAAAAAAAATCTTAATTGCTCAATTTTTCCTTTAACTTTCTACCAAGTCTCTCCCAGTAATTTATGGTTGATGCCTCACCAACAAAAAGAATTACCTTGAAATCAACCAAAAAAAGAAAAAAATATATCTCAAAATCAACAACAAAACCAGAAGAAGTCCCTTGTAATGGACAAAAAACTTGAAAATCTTTCGGAATCAACCAAAAAACATCAAAAATCCTTTGAAACGATGGAATTAAGCTAAAACACATTGGACAACTTTACGGGATTTTAATCTACCTTAAAAGTGTTTTCACTAGGCAAAAATCTTGGATCCACCATTGGTTGAGCTAATAGACCATGAAAACATCTTTATGGCTGTGACTAGGTTAGGAATGGCAACGGGCCGGGTATTGGTATCTCCGTCCCCGAAACTGATAACTAAAACCGTCCCCGTAACCGTCCCGATCCCCGTCGGGGATCTTATTGGGGATCTTCATCGGGTCCCCGCGGTTTCCCCTATCCCCATTGGGGAACCCGTTAAGAGTAAACATCATCTTCTTCACCGTTGGTTATAACCGAACCCGAAACCAAAACCCGAACCCGATCTGAAAAAAATTACAATATACTAATTTTCACAATTAAAAGTAAATTACAATTTTTTTTAAAGATGTAAGTTTAAATGTCTCAAATATAATCGAATCATTACAAACAATGTAATAGATTATATTATAAAACTAAACAAAAAATCAAACATCATACAACTAAAATAACGATTTTAAACAAATAAATTAGACTTTTTCATGAGCTTTATTTGGGTTGTTGAGATAAAGTGGATAAAAATCTTTTAAAATTTAATGTTATTATTTTCTTTTAATGATATATATATATAAATTAAAATTAATATATATATATATATATATATTGGGCCAGGCCGGTGATCACCATCCCCGCCCCTGTTCCCGTCCCCGTCCCCGTTAAAATCCCGGAATTTGTCCCCACCCGTCTCCGATAAGATGTCCTCGAACCCGGCCCGAAAGTTTCAGTTTTCACCATCGGTTTCGGTTTTTTTTTTTTTTTTTTTTTTTTTTTT